AGAGAAAAAAAGAAATGTATCAATTTCAGAAGTAACAGTCTTGCAATTCTTAATTACTGACTTTTAAAAAATCATCAGCCCTGAAGCCCACTGGTTTCAACATGCTCAAATTCAATGCATAAACTACACTCATCTTGATACAGTCGATCCCTCCCTCCATTTTAAGACTCTATCTTCATTTGGCTTCTGTAACCTGGACACTTCTTTCTGGTTTTCCTTCCACCTTCATGACTACTGCCTCTAAGGCCCCTTTGCTGAATCCTTCTCCTCTTATTAATCGTTACTATTGGAGTGCTCTAGCATAGTTTTGACACTACTTCTCTTGGTCTTATTGATGTAAATACCCACTACACAACAATGACTTCCAAACTTTTATCTTCAGCCCTGACCACAACTGACCTCCAGACTCAAAAAACCCAGCTACTTCCTTGACACTTGGACATCTCATGAGCATCTCAATATGGCCCTAACTAAATTCTGAACTGCATCCTCTTATCTTTCTCTTCCCATGGTTTTCCGCATTTTGATAAATGACATATCAATTAATAGTTATTCAGGCTGACAACCTTGGAATCATTCTTGAGCTTTCTTTTTTAACCTCCAGAATTCAAATCATTGGACAGTCCTGTTGGCTCTACTTCCATAACATAGGCAGATTTTGAATCTTTCTCATTACCTCCCCCGCTATAGTTCTGTTATAAGCTATCATTATATCTCACCTGGATTATCGCAATAGCTACATAAATGATCCTCCTGCTTCTAGTCTTGACCCTCTCCCAGTCAATTCTCCAGACAACAACTAGATTCTTTTAAAACATAAAATCAGATCAAATTACCCTTCTGGTCAAAACCCTCAATGGCTCTTCATCAAACCCATAATCCTTACCATGGCCTACAAAGCTCTATATGATGTGGCTGTGTGCAATCTACAGTTTTAATCTTATCTTTTCCTGCTCTCTTCCAAGTACACAATATTTTAGCCTCATTAGCCTCTTTGTGTCCCTTGAGCAAACCAAGCATACTCTTGCTTCAAGGTTTCTGCACTGTTTTCTCTGCCAAAATATTCTTTCCCTCCAAGAAATTTATGTCTGGTTTCCTTACTTCTTTCTCACCTCAAAGGAGCTTTCTCTACTACTCTATGTTAAATAGCAGCCCTGATCACCCTGTATTCCCTGTATTCCTCATTTTTCTTTATGTCACTTATGACTAACATTAAATTATATATCTAGTGGTCTCTCTACACAACTAGGCTAGACCCTATTAGTGCAGGGATGTTATTTTTCAGAGCTGAAACCTATCCTGGCACATGGTAGGTACCAATATATATTTGTTGAATAAATGAAGAAACAAATATATCCCATAAATTAACTCCATCATTTTTTATCTAGACTATATTTATGGAGAAAAATCAAAAACCAAAAATTCATCATGTAATAAAAATCTTTTAAAATACTGATTTTCAAAAAAAAATTACTAAAAATTACATATTTGGCTGATCTAGTTAGTATGAATTTATTTTGTTCATCTGAATTATTACAAAGTCAATTCAGCAAATGTTAATTGAGCTTATCCATGTAAAAGGATCAATACAGAGAAAGCAAAGTTAGGTGAAGCACAGTTTTATTTGTTTATTTTTGAGACATTTTAAATTGATATTATTCTGGTAGTAAGAAGAGGGTATTGTTTGGAGAACTGAAGGAAAAAATAAAATTGTAGAAGCCCCAGCTGGATTATAAGAAAGAATATGATGTGTGGTTTAAGTGGTACCAAATATTTTCTGGAAGTTCAGAGAAGGAATGATCATACATCATATTTGGTTACAAGCTCAGGAAAGAGATCATGAAGGAAGTAAAATTTAGGGTTGACATAGATGAGTAGTTGAAGTGGGTAGGACATTATAGTTAATGAGTTATACACATGCTAAGGCAGGGAACGTGAGCAGGCATATTTGGCTGACGTTTTGGAAATGCAGAGAATTAAAGGAAGATGGGTCAGGAAACAGGCCGGAGAGATTTAATGATATGCTTTGAAAATTCTGCACGTAATCCAGTAACAAGTGGGAAACCGTGATTTCTAAAAATATTACAGAAAAATTCAAATATATACAAATGCAGGAAAATAGTACAGTCCCCATGAACCTATTGTCCAGCACTACCTCTTAGGAAGCTACAGTCAACCTTGTTGCATTACACTCTCACATATTCACCTCCTCAACTTATTTTGAAATATTATTTTGAAATAAACTGATATAATATTTTATCCATAAATACTTCAGCATGTGTTTTCAATATACTTCAACTCTTTTTAAGGAAAGTACATATAACTCCATTATGACACCTACAAAATTAACAGAAATTCATTAATATAATTAAATATCTAGTTGGTGTTCATTATAGCATTGAATTAAAAAAGGAGTTTAAAAATATGAAGAATTGGCAGAACTGACTGTTAGGTGAAAAAGAGAAAAGGCTTGAATAACTCCCAGGTTTCTGGCTTGGGTATACAGATGAATAGCGGTGTCACCAAATAAAAAGATTTCCAACGGGTGACCAGGTTCCATATGTGCATGCATGCTTGTGTGTGTGTGTGTGTGTGTGTGTGTGTGTGTGTGTAAGCGATGAGTTCAGATTTGGATGTAATCATTTTGAAAAGCGTTTGGGCATCAGAGTGTACAGATCCAATAGGCAATTGGCATCAGATTTTGAGAAGAGGAATAGGATGACAACTACTCTTATACCATACATATATTCATATTTCCACATGGTCTGGGCTTTCTGAGCAAAGAAATTCAATACTAGGTTAAAGAATGATTGAATAGCAAACACACCTTGGAGTTTAGACTAGTGCGCTGTTCCAGAAAGTCATCTCTCTGGAGAATTTTGCTTACTTACATTCTAACTTACCTTCCAAGAATAATAGACCTCTACCTTCCTTTCCACCTGAAGAGGATTTGTTTACATTCCAGAGCAAAGGTCTATGCCATCTGTCTGTCTGTCTCTTTCTCTCTCTGTTCCCACTCCCTGCCCCTCAGATATAAAAGAGTTTCCTTATATAAGCTCTTTTATTCATAATTTGGGGGTTTCTCTCTTGTACTGCAACACTCACATGATAAACATCTGGCCCTCATTACATTTTCCTGTGGGGATTTGGGGCATGGGAGCTGGTGTAACGATGCTGTTGAGTAATTAGTGATATGTTCTCTGATTCGGAGATCTCGGGTTTCCTGCCAGGGTAGATAAATATAGATATAAAAACTTAACAAATATCAATAAAAGAAATACTTTTGCCTACTTTCAGTCAAGATTGAAGAGGACTTTAACCATGTATGAGATGGAGAGAAGGCTAGATAGAAAGTGGCTCTTGCTGAACTTGTAGCATCCCAAGCATCCCAGAAGGCAGGCTCTGAAAGCAAACTCAAGTTGAATTGGGCAGCAGTATAAAGGTTATAGGTAGACGTAGATCTTAGAGGATTTTCCTGCCTCATTCTAAGACTTCTATCTGTAGTGCATGAAAGCTTGCCTTGGAGGAGAACTAAGCTGTAGAAACAGAGGAGAATATAATATAATGCCAGTTGTAAGGGGTAAAAGTCAATCTTATAGTGAGAACATAAAAAAAAACAGAGCAGCGTGTTCCCAGGTCTTTCAAATCAGCTAGAAACAAGGTAAGATACAATGGTTATGCTGATGTGAATTAATTTGAGAGAGAGAGAGAGGTTGTTTATAAAATTCCAAATTGTTCTCTTCAAGTCCATGTACACCTTGTGATTGGAAGGCTCCATTCTTTTTGTTAAGCAACTCAATTTAGCTCTGTGGTAAGAGTACTTATCTGACAGGTCAAGTATTATCATACGAGAGAACGGAGGCCATGTCAACACAGAAATACTCTGTGAGAGTACTTATCTGGAGAAATTCAGGTTAAAACTGTCGTCTATGAGTGCTACATACGAAATTGCTAGTCATTGGAATATAGACATTGTTTAATTGCACGAGATGTTTAAGTTACACAGAAAAAGATTTTTAGAGTGAAAAGAGTGAGAATAAAGGTTGCCTAAGGATAAACCTCTGTGGAAGGCAGAGGCTGAGGAAAGATATAAATATGCCTAGAGAGTAACTCTCATCAGACCTCGAAGGAGACCTAAAAGAGTAAAATATTTCAAAATCAAGGGAAGAAAGAATATCGGGAAGGAGGGAGGGAGCTGTCATCAAGTCAAATGCAGCTAGAAACAGGAAGGGAAAGTCAGCTTTGGCAATTTAGGAAGTCATTGGTGAACTTACTCAGAGCAATTTTAGCATTTTGAAAGTGTGAAAATATAAATCTGGACAGGGCAAACTGTTTTCCACTGTCATTTTCTTTCACTACAAAATTGAAAATAGCTTAGTACTACATTGCAGTTTGCATTATTTGACACAAGACACATCTTTAGTGAAGAAATGTTTACTACTAATACAAATAAAACTTATAAGAAAATTTTTTTTTTTTAGAGAATGGATGTGGTATATGTTAGCAATGCCCTAGAAGTCACTAAAGGTTGCCTCTTATAGTCTTTTTCTTTTTATTCACCTGGCAAAATTTCATGAACATCTGATGACTCTGCGTCTAGAGATTTGGGTAGAATATTTGGGGCTATCCCACGAGCTTGATTAGGTTAGGTGCCAGAAACATGTGCCAACATGACTTCTTTGTTATTTCTGTTAACTTGACTGAACTGGGCAGCCTAATTCACCACAACTGGCACTGGATCAACTCTTGATGATATGAGTTGTGGATTCCATTTTAGTGTAGCTGCTAGCCCAAGGACAAAGATCCAGAAATTTGTCAGGTACTCCACTCGATACCAAACAGACTGACAGGCTGATTACTTAAATTCATATTGGGGCAACCAGCCACATTTGTCTGTACATTGGGAACCCAAATATTTAAAATGAATGGCTGTAATCTCATACGAGGGTACTATTTAAAAGAAGAGAAGGAGGATCTCTGCCACTAGAATAAAAGTAATCTATTTATGGTTTTGATGTGGGGTATATGTGTGCATGTGGTTTCTTCCTGAGGATTTGAGCTTGCAAAGCTTCCTGATTTTAACCTGAATCTCTTCAGAGCTCCCAATTATCTGGAAAGTGGTAGAGTTGTTCAGAATTGAGTTATGAATGGTTTTAGCAATGCTGGGCATGTTGCAAAGGCAAGAAAACTTTCTATCTTAAATGAGAAAGTCAAAAAGCAAAAACTGGGGCAGGGGATGTCATACTCTCTGGATATCTAGATAATAGCTCCTTAGTGCATTCTCAGAAAATGCTTTCAAAATTGGCTGGAGTCCAGGAAATCCTTTTTAAAGTCCCTACACATACTTTCGTCCCTGAGGCATTGCACACAGAAAAATGATATATGCACCAAAAAAATTCTGTAGCAGTTTCCATAGTTTAAAGTCAGAGATGAAATCTTTTCTAGTTTTTACTATTTTAGTTTATCTAGAAATAAGTGATCTTTACAGTTTCTGACCCTCTAAAAATGAAACCATAGTCCTGTAGTTGCTATGGTGACAGAAAAATCCCTAGGATCACTATAGAATCTATTATTTCCATTTCTATCCCTAAATAATTCCTTATCTTACCTGAAAACGTGATGGAAAAATGATAAAGTAAGTATCAACTTTTTAGTCAACTTCTTTCTTAATTTTTACATGTCCCATGAATTGACCTCCCCAAC